AAATTTGCACTGTTAATATCACTGGTCTTTATCTTTGATCTAAGGCATTCACACGTATGTATCTTTACTAATTACTTCACAAAAGAACATGTTAACCTCCTTTTTCTGCTAAAATAAGTGATAAGATTAATTAAAACATCTATAGAAAATTGTAAGGCATAAATAATCTGGACAAGGTCTGAAGTTCATAGAAAGTTTTAGGAAAAAAAAATCTAGGTCATTTTCAAACCAAGTTTTTTTTAGTAATTACAATTTTTTGAAATAGTCATTTTAATTATCTTCAGGTACCCAAGAAATAGTCATTTTAATTATCTTCAGGTACCCAAGAAATAACTTATGAGTAGCTTTAACTTATTTCCTCCCAAGGACTTAACCAAACCTAATACTACATAGGGAACAATTTTCTCTGACAGAAACCTAAACACTATTTGAGCAACTCCTATAGATCAGGCAAACAAGACAAACTTTTGCTGAAACTAGAGACTGAGATAAAATTCAACTATAAACCCCACTCCTGTCACAATGACCCACAACCAGGAGGGAACCTTCAACTTCACTTTCTCCCTGAAGAGTGAAGGAATTGAATGTTACATCTGGCACTCCAAATACGAGGACCCCCCTCCCCCATACATTTAGTTCTGAAAGCCAATGGCCTTTGTTTCCATGACACAAGACAGTATCAAACTGCCAGACAGTTCTCAGATGGTAGATAGGAACTCATCATGGCTACATCACAGGGTTTAATTCAAAGGCAGCTGACTGAAACACCCAGTCTTTCTGTGAACAATCTTTCTGGCACTCCAGTTTTCCTACCTGCTCTCCAGAGGACCTATCCTGATCATCTTGTTCTGGTGAGAAGAGTGATTTACAGATGCAGGTCCCACAGGACTATAACAAGTAGGGAAGGTGTTCTTAACAGGAAATCGCCAACAGGGCAAAACAGAGCAAAAGACAGGGATACCTTATCTTTCTGTGAAAGATCTTTTTTCACAGCCGGGTCCTGAGAGGCAAACTACTAACTGAATACCCATCTATAGGCTGACTGCATTGTTCTCTAGAGACGGGGGAGGTTGATGGACACCATCTTTAAATTATCTCTCAGTCCCATGCTACTGGTGTCTATGTGAAAGGACATTGTATAAATTTGGCACATGGGCTTTTGTGGCTGCTGCCCAGAGGACATAGCCCTTGATATTCAGTCTATGGTGGTTAGCAGGGTTTGTGTTGATGGGTTCAACAGGATGGAAGCAAAGGAAGAAACAGACATTAATCACCCCAAGTTCAGTCCAGAGAGAGCAGAGAGTAATCTCTCCCAGGATTCTACTAGAAAAGGTACATTTGTACAACTTTCTGCCTGGAGTCCAGCTTCTATTCAATCTGAATCTACGTGTTAACTGAGATTCTCCTCTTTATGGCACTGACAGATCTGGATAAACCTTCAACTACTGGGAGCCAGTAAGAACAAGTAGGCTGACTGGATAATTATAAAGATTTGAGAAACAACCAGCAACTAGGACTGGGCTGAACAATACATTTTACTCAACCTGAGGGACCTCTATCAAGACTGGACGTTTTTGTTTTTTTCCTCCTCCATCCAACACAGATGTCAAGAGAAATGAAAACAGAATATGCCCCAAACAAAAGATGTAACCTGAGAAATATGTGATATAACTGGGGAAACAAAAAAGTTCTAAATAACCATAGTAAAGATAAAGATGATCACTGAGATTAGGAAAACATGCATGATCAAGTGAGAATTTTAATAGAAAATACAAGCAAGTATTAAAAAGTGGTGGAGTTGAAAAGTATAAATACAAAAGAGAGGTTCAGCAACTAACTAGAAGCAGAAGAAAGGATCAATTATCATTATCAATTATCATTAGTAGAACTAATCTACTGCAAAAAAGAAAAAGGGAAGGCAACTTCAGGAACTTATGGGAAAACATCAAGCAAACCAACATTCATATAATAGGAATCCCTGAAGGAGACAGGGAAGAGTAGTCTTGTTTGAAATTTTCAATAATCTGAGGAAGGAAAAAGATCCTAGGTTTAGGAAACTCAAATTTCCAAATAAGATGTACCCAAAGATAACTATTTCAACATATATTTTAAATAAAAGTTAAAGACAGGAGAGAATCTTAAAAGTAGCAAGAGAAAAACAACTTGTTTCATAAAAGGGAAACAGTTGAAATATTGCAGACCAGAAAGGAGTGTCATCATATATGCAAACTGCTGAAAGTAGTAAACTGCCAACCCAGTAAGCTCCATCAAGAAAAAAAGCTTCCAATCCAGAATTGAAGGAGATACAACAGTTATACAGATAAACAAAAGGTAACAGAGTTCTTTATCAATAGATGGGCTTTCCAAGAGATGTTAAAGGACATCGTTAGAGGAAATGAAAGGGTACTAATTACATACCTAAAAATTGGACAAACTTGAATGTATAAATTCCTAGATACTTACACCAGCTGAAATACTGTGAAGAAACAGAAAATTTGAGCACTTTAAAGTAGTAATAAAAAACCTTCCACAAACAAATGTTCAGGATCAGATACCTTCACTGATAAATTCTACAAAACATTTAAAGAATTAATATCAAGGGGCCTCCCTGATGGTGCAAGGGGTTAAGACGCAACCTATGAAGCTGTCTGCAGCCACTGCAGCGCGAATTCGATTTCCGGCCAGGGAGCTATCCACAAGGCCCAGTAGACCTCTCCTGACTCACCAGCTGCTCCCCTCAGCAGTGTTATTTCAGTAGATCTGCCTATTCTGTTCCCCATTCTGTCTTTGGTGAATCCTCTCACCTCTCCTCGCCTCTGGCCTGTACCCCAGTTCTTATATGCATAAATAAATCTTAAAAAAAAAAAAGAACTAATATCAATCTAAGTATTTCCAAAAAATAAAATAGAAGGGAACACATCCAAATTCATTTACCAGACCAGCATTATCACAGTACAACAACCAGAATAAGAGAACACAAAATAAATGATTATCTCAATAGAAAACATTCGACAAAATTCAACATCTACTTATGATTACAAAAAAAATCTCAATACAGAAGGTATAGAGGAAAGGAATGTCTGTAAATTAAGAAAATCTCATTTATAATGTGTAAAGTACTTACATAAATTAAAGCAAGGATATGAAAGACGTGTACACTAAAAATTAGGTATACAAAAAATTTTAACATCTCTTATAAGGCTCATCTATTGATAAACACAAAGTAATGGAGTTCTTTATCTGTAAAACTCTTTAATCTCCTTCAATTCTGGATTAGATAACTTTCCTTTGGTAGAACTTACTTGACACAGAAATTGAAGACATAAGTAAATAAAAAAAACATTTTGTACTCATGAATTGGGAGAATGAACACTGTTAAAATGTCTATCTTACTCAAGGTAAGCTAGAGTTTGCTACAGTACTAATCAAAATTTCAATGACATTTTCCGAAGAAATAAAACAATCCTAAAATTTATATATAATCACCCCCAAAATCGTCTTTTCTCAAAGCAATACTGAAAAAGAACAAAGTTAGAGGCATCAGCTTCCTGATTTTAAGCTATTTCACAAAACTACAGTAGTCAAAACAGTATACTATTGGCAGTATACTTTGTTTTTATAAACATAGAAAGATCAATGAAAATGAACAGAATGCCTAGGAATAAACCCATGTATATATGATCAGTTAACTTAAAAAAGGAGTCAAGATGATACAATGGGGAAGGACATTCTCTTCAATAAATGGTGTTGAAAAACTGGCCAGCCATATGCAAAAGTATGAAACCGAACCACAATACAAAAAAATTAACTCAAAATGTATTAATGTCTTCAGCATAAGACCTGAAATCATAAAATTGCTAGAAGATAACACAAGCACTAAGTTTCTCAACAGTGGTCTTGATTTTTTTTTTTAATTAACACCAATAGCAAAGGGAATAAAAGGAAAAATAAACAAGCAGGATTACATCAAACTAAGAAACTTCTGTCCAGCAAAGGAAACAATCAACAAAATGCAAAGGTTGAATGGGAGAACATACACGCAAGTCATATATCTAAAGGGTCAATACCCAAAATATAGAAAGAGCTCATACAACTCAGTAACAGACACACACACACACACACACACACACACACACACAAAGCAGAGGTTCTGAATAAACATTTTCCTAAAAATATATGCAGCTGGGGAGTAAATACCTGAAAAAGTGCTCAAAAACACTCATCATGAGGGAAATGAAACTCAAAACCACAATAAGCTATCACACTTCACAACTGTTTGAATGGCTATTTTTAAAAAGGCAAGAAATTACAAGTGCTCATGAGGATGTGGAAATACAAGGTGGTGCGGCTACTATGGAAAAGAACACAGAGGTTCTTAAAAAAATTAAAGACAAAACTACCACATGATTCAACAATTCTACTTCTGAATATTCAACTGAAGGAAACAGTAACACATCTTGAAAAGATATTTGCACCTTCATGGTCCTTGCATCATTATTTGCAACAGATAAGAAATGGCAAAAACCTAAGTGTCTAACAGAGGATGAAAGAAAATGTGTAATGTGTGTATATAAAGTATAAAAACACAAAACACACATACAATATAATACTATTCAGCTTTAAAAAGAATCTTCCCATTTGCTACAATATGGATGGACCATGAGCTCATTACAAATACTGTATAACCTCATTAAAGAACTCACAGATACAGATAAGGATTTGTGATTACATAAGGTAGGGAGTGGGTGAAATGGGTTATAAAATAAATAGGTCCTGGGGATATAATGAACAGTATGGTGACTCTAGTTAACAATACTGTACCGTATATTTCAAAGCTGCTAAGGTAATATATCTTAAAAAAAATTTTCACAGAAAACATGGTGATGGATGTAACCTACTTATTCTGATGATCATTTCACTATATATATATGTTGAATTACTACATTACACATCTGAAACTAACATCATGCTATGTAATTTATATTTCAATAAAAAAGTACCTTCAGATTGTATTTATGAGCTTTATCCAAAATAGTTGGAACCAAGTCATCAGTAGGTAATCCATTCTCATCATATAAATTGGGTGGGTACCATGACAGGGCTAGTACACCTAATAGAAAAACCAAAAAGGAAAATAATTATCACAGGAACTGGAATGGCCATTTTTTATTTGAAAAAGGCAGAATAGAAACCAAATCTTCAACAATAAAAACCTTTCTCACAAAATGCTGTTTTACTGCTTAGATACTACTTACCTATGGTTACTTGATGTATTGTCAACAATTATGAACTCTTTATCAGATGTCACTATCATTAATTTAATAGGTTTTACTTTCTAGAGTAAGTTTTAGATTTATAGAAAAATTACACAGAAAGTATAGTGATCCCATAAGTCTATCCAATTCACTACTTCCTCCCTATAGTACATATGATTGCACTGTTACTAACTCTTACATACATTTGTTACTACTGATGAGCTAATAGCCATACATCACTATTAGCTAGTGTCTATGGAGTACACTAGGGTTCACTCTGTGTTGTACAGTTCTATGGCTTTTGACAAATGCATAAAATCATATCCCACCATTTTAATACTGCATGAAGTAATTTTAGTGCTCGAAAAACCCCTTTGTGCTCTACCTAAACCAAAGTTTTAGAAACAAAGAAATTTCTCTCTACAGGGAGAATATTTGAAATCAACTAATCCACAGCCTTATTACATATTGCTATACAATACAATAGCGAATACTAGCCATCTTAAGTTTAATTTAAAGCCAGAGGATAGCACAAATATAGAACATTTTCATTATTACATATGGTTCCATCAGATGACACTGGTTAGATTACTCCGATTCTCTTAACATTAACCACCTTAAACATGTATAATGATTTTCTTCATCCCTAGTAAAGAAATTGAACCAGTAATCAAAAATCTCCTGACAAGAAAATCTCTGGACTCAATGGCCTCACAGATGAATGCTACCAAAGATTTAAAGAATTTAAACAATTCTCCTCAATCTGGTCCAAAAAACTCAAGGAAACAATTTCTAATTAATTCTGTATTACCCCGATATAAAGGCAAACAAAGGCATTGTAAGAAAACTAAAGGTTATTATCCCTTTTAAACACTAGTACAAAAATTCTCAACATAATACTAGCAAACTAAATGCAACAGCATATTTAAAGTATATCATGATAAAGTGAGGTTTATTCCTAGACTGCAGGAATGATGCAATATATTCAAATGACCAATGTAATACACGCCACATTAACAGAATGATGAGGGGGAAACCAAAATGATTATCAAAAAAGTGTCTTAATACTTTCCTGATAGAAATACTAAAAAACATTAGCAATAGAAGGAAACTATCACAGCATAGTCAAAGCTACATGTGAAAACCCAGAGTAAACAGCATAGTCAATGGTGAAAGACTGAAGGTTTGCCCTCTGAAATCAAGAACAAAGCAAGGGCAACTGTTTTTGCACTTCTACTTACTACTGGGGTTCTAGCTAGCATAATTAGTAGTCAAAGAAAAGGCATCTGAATTTCAAAGAAATAAAATTACTGGTTTATAGGTAACATAATCTTATATGTACAAAGCACTAAAAGTTCAAAAATAAAAACACCTGTTAGAACAAAGTCACTCAGCAAAAAAGCAGGATACAAAGTGAACACAAATATTAGTTGCATTTCTATGATGAAAATTAAAAAGCAGTTATATCTAGAACAACATCAAAAAGAACCAGATACTTAGAAATTAACTAGGTGGTGAAAGATATGTATAATGAAAACTACAAACAGTGCTAAAATAGGCAAAGGAAGACAAATGCACCTCATGTTCATGAATTGGAAAAATTGGGTTAAAATGCCAATGCCACACAAAGTGATCTTTAGATTCAATACAATCTTATTAAAATTCCAATGGTGTTTTAGGAAAAAGAAAAATCTATCCAAAATTCTAGTGACTCTGAAGAATCATACAATGTTGAAAAACTGAACAAAATTGAAAGACTCCCACTACCTGATTTCACAATCTACTACAAAGCTGTGGTAATTAACAAAGTGTGATATCCGTATAAAGACAGACAAATGGGGTAGTATATAGAGACAAGAAATAACTTTGATAAGGATGCCAAAAGGACCTTTAATAAATAATGCTGCAAAAACTATTCACATGGAAATTAATGACATTGAACACTTGTCTATAAAATCATATACAGAAATTCAAAATGGACCACGGATATAAATATTAGACCTAAAACAATAACATCTTGGAAGATAACAGAAAAAGCTTCATACCATTGGATTTGGCAATAATTTTGGTGCGATGACACCAAAGGTACTGGTATACAAAAAAAGAATAGAAAAATTGAACTTTGCGTTGAAGTTGCACATCAAAAGATGTTATCAACTGAATAAAAGTACAACCTATGGAATATCACAAAGTATTTGCCTAATATATATCCAATAAGATTAATATTCAGAATGTATAGTGTAAAGCTAAAGCTCAAAAATAAAACTACCACCAGATTTAAAAATTAGCACAGACTTGAACAGAATTTCTCAAAAAAAAAAAATTACAAATGACCAATAAGCACTTTTAAAAAATGGTACAATCGAAAAACAAAATAATTGTTGGCAAGAATATGGAGAATGGGAACCTTCACTGTGGGAATGTGAACTGGTATAGCTGCTGTAGACAGTATGATGGTATCTCAAAACAAAACAAAACAGAACACAATTACCAAATAATCCGCAATTCCACTTCTGGATATATATCAAAAGGAATTGGAGTAGGTAACGGAAGATATTTGGACATCCATGTGCTCAGCAGCATTATTCACAGTAACTGAAATGTGCAACCAACCCGTGTCCACAGATGAATAAGCAAAATGTGTTCTATACATACAATGGAATTTTATTCAATCTCTTAAAAATGAAGTTCTGAAATATGGAATAACATTTATGAACCTACATTGTGCTACATGGAATACACCAATTAAAAAAAAAAAAACATACTGTAAGATGCCACTTATATGAGGTACTTGGAGTAAATAAAAGTAGAATATAATTGGAAAATTAGGGAATAGGGAAGAGGTCAAGTTTCAGTTTTGCAAGATGAAAAAGAGTAAGGAGATGGATGGGGTGATGATTCCATAACATTAGGTATTATTTAATGTCATTGAACTATATGCTAAAATATGCTAAAGTGGTAAATTAAAAAAATGAAAAGAAAAAAATCAAGTGAATAGATGTGGTAAAGTCATTTGATAAAATTCAACACATCTCAGCAGTAAAACTCTCAGCAGCAACAGAAGTGAACTCCCTTGAGATGATAAATGGTATTTACAAAAATCTTAGCATAATATTTAGTAGTGAAAGAATTTTCCACTGAGATCAGAAACAAGTCAAGGACAACCTTTCTTACTCTGCCTATTCACGAAATACTGGAAAATTAAGCCAGTACAATAAGAAAAAGAAACAAAGATATAGAGATTGGGAAAAAAAAAATCAACTATTTACAAATTTGATTGTCTATACAGTAAAAGAATCCACAAAAATGGTCCTAGAGTTAACAATTTATCAAAATCACAAGCTACAAAGGTCAATAATTTTTTAAGATTGCATTTCCATATGTTCATGAGCAAATATCAAAATTTAATAAACAGTATTTGTGATAGCAATCCCCTTAAGAAAGTACTTAAGTATGTACAGTGTCTGTGCACTGAAAATTATAAAAATCTTAAAAGAAATTTAGGTCCGAAATAAATGGGAAGAAACATATTCATAGAATGCAATATTCAATATGCCATTATTCAATATTGCTAATTGCATTCACTATTCCTAAAGTGTCAATTTTCCCCAAATTGATCTAAAGATTCAGAGCAATTCCATTCAAAATTGCAACAGAATATTTTGAAGATATGGAACAGTTGATACAGCTAGGCAAAGGAATCCCCTAATAGCCAAAGCAATCTTGAAAGAGAACAATGAAATCACCCTGATTTCAAGAACTCTTACAAAAAAATAATCCAAACAGGGTGGTATTGCTGTAAGTACAGACATAAACAGATCAGTATAAAATCCAGAAGTAGACCCACACCAATACAGTCATCTTTTTTATAGAAGTGAAAGATTTCAATGGTGACAGGAAAGACTTTTCAACAATGAAACTTAACATTAGGTAATCACACTATAGGCCTAGCAGAAAGAGTGGCATGCCCCATTTTCCAGGATTAAAGACTTACCAAAAAATGTTTACAATCCTACAAAAGATGACATGCTTTCAAGAAAAATTTATAAGGAACACCAAAAAACAAGAAAACAAATATACTCTCATGAGACAAAACAATCTGAAGAACTAGATTAAGAAATCTATACCAATCTGAAACTATCACCATTTACAATTATAGAAGTCAATTTGAAATTAAGAAACACTAGTTTCTAAAATGAAAAGTTTTGGCTTTCTATTTATTGCAGAGGTACTTTGGTGAAAAGGAGGTGCCATTTTCTTCACCTACCCTTACACATAGCTATCTTTGACTACAAGTCCCAGTATGCCAGAAACTGGACTTCCTGAGCAGGGGAGCTGCTGGGAAGTAGGGGCAGAGCTAAGCAGTAAGTATACCTATATAACACAGAAGGTGGGCAGGCCTGACTTGCTTGTTTTTCTGGTTTTGACCTGTACCTAGGGACTTGGAGGAAACAGAGGAGAGACATGTACAGCCCTGGATGAGACACATGGGGAATCTGGTCCTGGTGCTTGGCAGAGACAATGACAGTTATCTTGGCTTCATGTTGCATTATGTGATGTATTTCAAGTTTTGAAATTTTCCTTCTGCCTCAGCTCTCTGGACTCTGCCTTAATCTGTCTTGTAGTTCTTTGTCAGAAGGTACCTTGGCAAGCATTCAGACCTCAGCAGCTCTGCTTCATGCCAGCCCTACTTGGCTGGACATTGCCCCTGAGGAGATGGGCAATTTTCTGAATTTTATTGGGCTAACCTTTCTCTTGTTCTCTCTATGCACACCAATTTTATTAAAAATCTTTCACATTAAGACTGTTTCCTTTGTCTTTGTGTACACAGATGGCTAAATCCTTTTCAAAGTTT